TCTCTAAATCAGGAGAGACCATTTAGGCTAAAATAAAATAAAATAAAATAAAATATTCCACTGCTCTCCCTGAGTGCTGGGAGGGAGAGAACAATGGCACAGAAAGATGAATGCTTCTTGCTCTTTAATTGAGTCTAATGGGCTATAAATACATTTTTCCCCTCAACTACAGGAGCAGAATGAAAGGCTTCTGGTAAAACTGGTTTTTCACTCTGAAAAACCCCTGCTCTTTGGAAAAGCTTCTGCACAGAGGCACCTGTGGAAATCCCCTGGAGTGGTTTGAAGGCATTTTAATTCCTAATAAAAGCTCTCAGTTCAGGGGCTGCGCTGATGCAGGGCTGCAGAGTTGGAAATGTCATTTCAAGTTGAGTCATTTTGCAAACCTCCTTTTTTTTGGTTTTTTTCCCCTACCTTCAGTGTTAACTTGATGAGCTCAGTAAAATCCAAAATGCAGCATTTTGCTGTCTCAAAAACGAGCAGTTCAGCACCTGTGTAAATGCAGAGGGTTTATGACTCTGACCATCATTTTTAGGGTTATTGCTCTTCCTCTCTCTTCTGCCTGTTTATGCCAATATTAAAAACGATCCCTTTTGCTTGGATTTGATTACAGGGACATAAGAAAATGTTTCAGTTAATCCTGCTCGGGTGAAATATTCCTGACTGGCCCTCAAATGCAATCCCTGCTCACAAAATTTAGGAAATAAATTGTAATTTGAGTTTTTCTGGCTTTTTCTACATTCTTACCTGGTAATGGCCAAGTCTTTTCAGGCATTTTAAAACCTTTTTTTTTGTTCCAGACCTTCATTTCATATTCAGCTCATCTCTGCTAATAGTTCCACCCAATTAGCATCAAAATCAGGTGAAATCTTGACATTCCTATTTTTTTTTTTTTTTTAGCACTTCAATCACACCTGTTTTGCTTTGTGCCTTTAACTAAACAGTTCCCCTTGGTAAATTCAAATATCACTCAGACACTGATGTCCTTTCCTCGTGGGTGCTGGTCAGAATTTCTGTGCTTGAGCATCTCCCATTTTTGGGGCTCCATCCCCTCAAAGCATCCCCAGCTCCCTGCCTGGCAGAGCTGACAGAAATTGCACCCAACCCCAGCTTTGGGCCTCATTTCCCCTCTAATTCTCATTTTTCTCCTCAAAGAGGCAATGATTGACTTTCTAATTAACATCCAGGGTTTGTGCACGTGCAGTTTAGGTGCTGATGCTTTTCTTTTTGCTGCAGGAATAATTCCTTTGCTCTCATTATCCCTGATATTTTTAATTTCGGGGGGGTGTGTGTGGTTGTCAGAGCAAATATTCAGGGTGGGATAACCCAGCCCAGCTGGGATTTGATATTTCCATATCAAATGTGGGAAATTTGGGGACTCCACAGCCTCTCAGGGCACTCTGACCAGAAAAAGAAGGTTTTTATCCAAGTTTTCATGGAATTTCCTGCATTTCAGTCTGTGCCCGTTCAGGATAAACAGAAATTGTTGGCTTGGTGCGTTCACTTGGAAAATTGTCCTGTGACTTCTCCAATCTTTGGTGGAATAATTGATAAATAATTGATAAATCCAGAGGAATTGCACTCATTTGCTGGGGGGGGGGGCACCTGCAAATAACTTGGAATTAATAAATCCAAGCACAGTTTTAAACATTTAATAAATCCAAGCACAATTCTAAATATTGCACAGGGTGGACTAAAGGAAAATTTAGGGGAAAAATAAGGAAAATTAGAAAAATTAGAATTGAGGAGAATTAACCCCAAATTCCTGAATTTGAGGTAGAATAATCTGTGTACAATGTGCCTTTGGGCCTCGCTGGGGGAGAAACAGCTCTTCAAATGCCACGTTCATTAATAATGAATTAATTCATTAATGACCCTGTGCTTGTGTGGGCAGTTCCTGTGGTTTCCCAGGAGAATTCCCTGGTGCCACACGGGACCAGCGTGCAGGGATGTGGAGCAGGACCCCAGGGGTGTTTTGAGGCTGCACTTTAATCTCTGATTTAATCTCTGGTGTTGGCTTTGGAAAATGAAATTTAACCCCAGGGCAGGGGGGACTCGTGGGCACTCCCAAACCTGGGACGAGCAGCGTTCCCAAGGCTTTGCCCCTTGGAGAGGCATTTATAACACAATTAATTAAAATGTGTTTGGGTGCTTCAGTGCCAAAAACGGCATTAAAAACAAACCAACTTTAACACAGGAATAAAACAACTTTATTACCATTTATTTCTCTATTTTTTCTACTCAAAAACTGGAGCACGGAGCCCTTGCTGCTGTGTCAGGGAGGGAAACTGGAAAAGCCCAAATTAAAGCTGTGCCAGAAAAAGGGAATTTCCATTCCCTGCGCCAGGGGATGCTCCAGGGAGGGCTGGAAATGAGGGCTCAGCCTGGGCTGGTCCCTGCAGCTGCTCCCAGAGGTTACCCCGAGGTTACTCCGAGGTTACTCCGAGGTTACTCCGAGGTTACTCCGAGGTTACACCGGCTTTACGCCAGCCCCAGCTCCAGCCCAACCCTGCCCTCTGCTGGGCCTGAGCAGGGAATCAAAGGGATTTTCATTCATTAATTAATTAATTCAAATGAATGCTCTGGGTTTGTGTGTGTCAGGATTTACGGGCTGGGGGTGTTCTGAGGGCAGGGCAGGGGATTCCACTTGTGCTTTAAATGGAAAAAACAAAAAAAACCACATTAAATTTGATTCCACTCTGCCACGTGCTGCTTTCAAATTTAGAATAAAAATTTAGGATAAAAATTTAGGATAAAAATTTAGGATAAAAGTATTAAGTTTGATTCTGCTCCACCACGCGGCGCTTTAAAATTTAGAATAAATACACTCAATTTTATATCACTTTGCTATGTGGTGCTTTAAAATTTAGAATAAACACACTCAATTTTATATCACTTTGCTATGTCGTGCTTTAAAATTTAGAATAAACACGGCAAATTTGATTCCACTTTGCCAATTGGTGCTTCAAAATTTAATATAAAAATTTAAAATAAAAAATTCAGAAGGAACACATTAAATTTGATTCTGCTCCACCATGTGGTGCTTTAAAATTTAGAATAAACACATTAAATTTGAATCCACTTTACCAATTGGGGCTTAAAAATCTAGACTAAAGATTTGGAATAAAAATTCAGAATAAACACATTAATTTTGATTTCACTCTGACACTTTGTGCTTTAAAATTTAGAATAAAAATTCAGAATAAACACATTAAATTTTATATCACTTTTCCACTTGGTGATTTAAAATCTAGAGTAAACACATTAAATTTGATTCTGCTTTGCCAATTGGTGCTTAAAAATTTAGAATAAAAATTTAGAATAAAGATTTAGAATAAACACATTAACTTTTATATCACTTTTCCACTTGGTGATTTAAAATCTAGAGTAAACACAATACATTTGATTTTAAAATAAACTCATTTAATTTGATTCCACTTTGCCAATTGGTGCTTAAAAATTTGGAATAAAAATTTAGAATAAACACATTAAATTTGATTCTGCTTTTACCAATTGGTTACTTTAAAATTTAGAATAAAAATTTAAAATAAAATATTCAGAATAAACACGTTAAATGTGATTCCACTTTACCAATTGGTGCTTAAAATTTTAGAATAAAAAATTCAGAATAAACACATTAAATTTGATTCTGCTTTACCAATTGGTGCTTAAAATTTTAGAATAAAAATTTAGAATAAATACATTAAATTTGATTCCACTTTTACCAAGTGGTTACTTTAAAATTTAGAAGAAAAAAATTTAAAATAAAAAAAATCCAAATAAACACATTAAATTTGATTCCACTTTACCAATTGGTGCTTAAAATTTTAGAATAAAAATTCAGAATAAAAAATCAGAATAAACTCATTAAATTTGATTCCACTTTACCAATTGATGGCTAAAATTTTAGAATAAAAATTTAGAATAAATACCTTAAATTTAAATACATTACATTTGATTGCACTTTTACCAATTGGTACTTAAAAATTTAGAATAAAAATTTAAAATAAAATATTCAGAATAAACACATTAGATTTGATTCAGCTTTAACAATTGGTGCTTAAAAATTTAGAATAAAAATTTAAAATAAAATATAAAATAAAATATTATCTTTACCAATTGGTAAAGAAAATTTTTGTTCTAGAATTTTAAGCACCAATTGGTAAAGTGGAATCAAATTTAATGTGTTTATTCTGATTTTTTATTCTGATTTTTTATTCTGAATTTTTATTCTAAAATTTTAAGCACCAATTGGTAAAGTGGAATCAAATTTAATGAGTTTATTCTGAATATTTTATTTTAAATTTTTTTCTTCTAAATTTTAAAGTAACCAATTGGTAAAGCGGAATCAAATTTAATGGGTTTATTCTGATTTTTTATTCTGAATTTTTATTCTACAATTTTAACCATCAATTGGTAAAGTGGAATCAAATTTAATGGGTTTATTCTGACTATTTTATTTTAATTTTTTATTCTAAATTTTTAAGCACCAATTGGTAAAGTGGAATCAAATTTAATGTGTTTATTCTGAATTTTTTATTCTGAAATTTTAAGCACCAATTGGTAAAGTGGAATCAAATTTAATGTGTTTTCTGAATATTTTATTTTAATATTCTATTTTATTCTGCAATTTTAAGCACCAATTGGTAAAGCGGAATCAAATTTAATGGGTTTATTCTGACTATTTTATTTTAATTTTTTATTCTAAATTTTTAAGCACCAATTGGTAAAGCGGAATCAAATTTAATGTGTTTATTCTAAATTTAAATCTTTACCTTTATTTAAATCTTTAACTTTAAATCTTTACCAATTGGTACTTAAAACTTTAGAATAAAAATTTAAAACAAAAAATTCCGAATAACCACATGAAATTTAATTTCACATTTCCGCACTGTAAAATTCCCATTAACGCCCTGAGCTGTGGGTGTGCAGCCCGGGGTGGGGGGGGGCTCTCTGGGGGTGCTCATTAGAGCCAATTAACGCCGCCGTTAATTGCCGTGCAGTCGGCAGCGGAGTACGTGAAGGCGCGGCTGCCCGAGGTGCTGAAGCAGCACCTGCAGGACTACGAGCGGGACAAGGAGAACAGCGTGCTGTCCTACCAGAGCATCCTGGAGCAGCAGATCCTCTCCATCGACAGGGAGATGCTCGAGAAGCTCACCGTCACCTACGATGAGGCAGGTACGGCTGCGCCCCAGAATTCTCATTTACTGCCCCAAAAACGGCTCATTTCCCCAAAAACCTTCCGTTTTTGTCATTGTTTTATGGAATGTTTGTCCCCCCTGTAGTGGTTCCTCATAAATCTCATTTACTGCCCCAAAAACGGCTCATTTCCCCAAACACCTTCCGTTTTTGTCATTGTTTTCTGAAATGTTTGTCCCTCCTCGAGTGGTTCCTCATAATTCTCATTTACTGCCCCAAAAATGGCTCATTTCCCCGAACACCTTGTGCAGATTGAGCCTTTCTTTGTGAAATGTTTGCTCCTCCTGAAGTGGCTCCTTAGAATTCTCATTTTCCTGCCCCAAAAATGGATCATTTTCATCCTTCCCCAAACGCCTTGTGCAGGTTCAACTTTTGTCCTTGTTTTTCTGAAATGTTTGTCCCTCTTCAAGTGGTTCCTCGTAATTCCCATTTACTGCCCCAAAAATGGCTCATTTCCCCAAACACCCTCAATTTCTGTCATTGTTTTATGAAATGTTTGTCCCCCCTGTAGTGGTTCCTCATAAATCTCATTTACTGCCCCAAAAATGGCTCTTTTCCCCAAACCCCCTCAGTTTTTGTCATTCTTTTCTGAAATGTTTGTTCCTCCTCAAGGGGATCCTCAGAATTCTCATTTCCTGCCCCCAAAATCACTCTTTTCCTTTTGTCCTCATTTTTTTTCAATGTTTGTTCCTCCTCAAGTGGTTCCTCACAATTCTCATTTTCCCGCCTCAAAAATTGCTCGTTTTCAATCCTTCCCCAAACTCCTTCAGTTTCTGTCCTTATTTTCTGAAATGTTTGTCCTCTCCTCAAGTGGTTCCTCATAAATCTCATTTACTGCCCCAAAAATCACTCTTTTCCCCAAACCCCTTCAGTTTTTGTCATTATTTTCTGAAATGTTTGTCCCCCCTGTAGTGGTTCCTCAGAATTCTCATTTTCTGCCCCAAAAATGGCTCATTTCCCCAAAAACCTTGTGCAGGTTGAGCTTTTCTCTTTGTTTTTGTGAAGTGTTCGTCCCTCCTCAAGTGGTTCCTCATAAATCTCATTTTCCTGCCCCAAAAATCACTCTTTTCCCCAAACCGCTTCAGCTTTTGTCCTTGTTTTATGAAATGTTTGTCCCCCCTGTAGTGGTTCCTCAGAATTCTCATTTTCCTGCCCCAAAAATGGCTCTTTTCCCCAAACCCCCTCAATTTTTGTCATTGTTTTATGAAATGTTTGTCCCCCCTGTAGTGGTTCTTCGTAATTCTCATTTCACCGCCCCAAAAATGGCTCATTTTCATCCTTCCCCAAACGCCTTGTGCAGGTTCAACTTTTGTCCTTGTTTTTCTGGAATGTTTGTCCCCCTTGTAGTGTTTCCTCATAATTCTCATTTTCCTGCCCCAAAAATCACTCTTTTCCCCAAACCTCTTCAATTTTTGTCATTGTTTTCTGAAATGTTTGTCCCCTCCTCAAGTGGTTCCTCATAAATCTCATTTTACTACCCCAAAAATCACTCTTTTCCCCAAACCCCCTCAATTTTTGTCATTGTTTTATGAAATGTTTGTCCCCTCCTCAAGTGTTTCCTCATAATTCTCATTTACTGCCCCAAAAATCACTCATTTCCCCAAACCCCTTCAGTTTTTGTCATTCTTTTCTGAAATGTTTGTCCCCCCTGTAGTGGTTCCTTAGAATTCTCATTTTCCTGCCCCAAAAATGGCTCATTTCCCCAAAAAACTTGTGCAGGTTGAGCTTTTCTCCTTGTTTTTGTGGAGTGTTCGTCCCTCCTCAAGTGGTTCCTCATAATTCTCATTTTACTGCCCAAAAATGGTCCTTTTCCCCAAACACCTTGGACTTTTGCCCTCATTTTTGGGAAATGTTTGTTCCTCCTGATGTGGTTCCTCATAATTCTCATTTTACTGCCCCAAAAATGTCTCATTTCCCCAAACACCTTGAACTTCCTGTCCTTTTTGGGAAATGTTTGTTCCTCCTGAGGTGGCTCCTCATAAATGTCATTTTCCTGCCCCAAAAATCCCTTGTTTCTCCAAACCCCCTTTGCAGGTTGAGCTTTTTGTCTTCATTTTTGTTCCTCCTCAAGGGGATCCTCAGAATTCTCATTTTTCTGCCCCAAAAATGGCTCAATTCTCAAACCCCCCGTGCAGGTTGGGCTTTTGCCCTTGTTTTTGTGAAATGTTTGTTCCTCCTCAAGTGGTTCCTCATAATTCTCATTTTTCTGCCCCAAAAATGGCTCATTTTCAGTCTTTCCCCAAACACCTTGTGCAGGTGCAACATTCATTCTCATTTTTATGAAATATTTGTTCCTCCTGAAGTGGTTCCTTAGAATTCTCATTTTCCTGCCCCAAAAATTGCTCATTTTCCGTCCCTCCCCAAACCCCTTGAACTTTTGTCCTCATTTTCGTGAAATGTTTGTTCCTCCTGGAATGACTCTTTATAATTCTCCTTTTACTGCTCCCCCAAAAAAATTATTCATTTTCAGTCTTTCCCCAACCCCCTTGTGCAGGTGGAGCTTTTATCCTTGTTTTTGTCAGCTTTTCTCCTCATTTTTGTGAATTGTTTGCTTTTCCTGTCCCAGGCTGGCTGGGAATGTCCCCCCTGGGTGCTGGCAGGAGCTGAGGGGACGCTCCTGCCAACCCTTTGTGCTCTGCTGTTAATTATTTTAATTATCTCCTGTCTCTCTCCATTGGCACCTCCTGGATTTTGCTCTTTTTCTCCCTCACAAATTCCTGATTTTTGGCCTTTCCCATCTGGGGGTGGGCTGGGCAGGCACAAGAGGTGATTTTAACCCTGACACGAGGCCATGGGCAGCCAAACCCAGGCAGTTTTTGGGGGCTTTTTGAGCAGTGAACTCCCAGTTTGCAGATCTGGTACTTGCCCTGGCATTTTCTTTTCAAGCAGTCAGAAACGTCTCCCAGCTTTTAAATCCTTTTGTAAAAATGCACCTCACACCAGGAGCTTGGCTCTCAAAGGCCAGCTGAGGTCAAATGGGGGTGCAGAACATTTCTTTCATCACATATGGCTTGCTTTTAATAATGCACAAAAAATAAGCTTCAGGTTTTGTTGCTTTCTGTCACCTCTGTTGATCTTTTCTCACACAGAATTTCCCAAAACCCTGTAACTTTTTTTCCTTTAGTTTGGTCACTCCAGCTCCTCTCCGCTTATTTTCATTTAAAGGAGTTTGTTAGGGAGGAGAAAATGCAGGGAAATTACTGATTCCTGTCAGAAGGAAAAGAAAGCTTTTTCCTTTATGGAAATCTCAGGGTTTGTATGGCAAAAATAAAGATTAAAACTGCTTGAAACACATATTTGGGGATTTATCTCATCCAGCAAGAATCATGTGGAAATGAGAAGCTCCATAATAACTGGTTTAGAAGATTCCCAGCAGCACAGCTGTAAATGAAAGCCCAAAATCCCAGCTTGATCAGAGATGAAAACACAGCAGTGGAGCCCCTCACCCTCCTAATTGTGCCCCTTATTTATGAAAAGGCAGAAATGGCTCTACCTGCCCTTGGAACGAGAGCTGATTGTGAGCAGAGCACAGAAAATGGGCAGTTAAATGTAATTACAGCAGCTGCTGCCGATCCTGGGTGCCCTTGGTGGTGCCATTTTCCCTTTTTTTGGCTTTTTTCCCCAGCAAAATCAACTGAACGAGGAGCTCGAGCTGCTGCAGGGGCACAAAAAGTGAAGGAAACAATCCCTCAAAATTGGCAAAATACAAGTGCTGGTGGTGAAAGGGGAGCAGATGCAATTTTTGTCTGGCAGGGGGTGAGGTGAGGGATCCCCCAGAGCCCTCCTGGAGCCCTGCCAGGGCCTCATCCCTGCAGGAATGAGCAGCAGCTGGAATTCCAGCAGCTGGAATTCCAGGGAAGCTGCCGGAGGAGGGACCTGGGGGGCTCCCACGCTGATGGTGTGGGCAGGGAAGCACTTCCACACCTTTTCCAGCCTTTCCCATCTCTCCTGGAGGGACCACTTTGCACCCTCAGGTAAATCCTTTCTGCCCAGGGATGAGTTCAGCTGCATCCATTTGCCAGAAGAAAGCTGAAATGCTCTGGGCTTGGCACCATTTTGGGTGTCAATTTGGCCTTTCTGGCAGCGTCCAGTGTTAATAAAGTGCAGCCTCGATGGACTCCACATCCCAGTGTGGATCTTTCCCTCTTTTTGTGAATCTTTCCCTTTAGGAAATCAATCCATCAGAGCCACACATAAAATGAGTTTGTCTGGAAACAGTCAAGTGCTGGCAAGATTTTTTTTTTTTTTGTGAGGTTTGAGTAAGGAAGATTTAAAAAATGAAAGGAGGCCAAAAGTGACAGATGGGGACAAATCCTCTCCTAATCTGTAAATCCTTTAGTTTAAAAAGTGGCATTCTTGACTAGCTAAGGCTGGGGTAATTTTGTGCAAGAATATTTTCTCCCAACAAAGCTTTGCTGGCTCTTAATCCCATTCCTTTGATTTACAGTATCCCTAAACATCCGAGGTGGTCAGTGCCTGATCTGTGGCAAATTTTGGTTATTTAAAGGAATTTTAGCATTTAATGCCAATGTTCCAGGGGATTCCAGCCTGCTGGGAGGTTCTGGAGGTGCTTTTGTCCTGTGGGAAATGTTTTTTTTCTTTAATGGATGGCCCTTCTTCCCCATGAGTTCTGAGAAAATTGAGTTTCATTATTGCACAACAAAAAAAGAGATGGAATTCATTTTTCCCTGCTGTCAAGCAGTCCTGGAGATATTGATATTTAGGGATTGCATCCAGAGCCAGAGCCAGCCCCAGAATGGGTTTTTTTAGCTGATATTTGCTGGTTTTGGGTGAGGGGGGCAGGGAAGGGGAAGATGGAAACTGGAAAGGAGATGGGAAATGGGAAATGTTCCTCCCACTTTAAGGTGGGCCCAGTGCTCAGAACTGGAAAGGAGATGGGAAATGGGAAATGGGAAATGTTCCTCCCACTTTAAGGTGGGCCCAGTGCTAAGAACTGGAAAGGAGATGGGAAATGGGAAATGGGAAATGGGAAATGTTCCTCCCACTTTAAGGTGGGCTCAGTGCTCTGGGGGTCACAGCTGGGACTCCCCAATCTTGGCAGTCCTTCCCACCTCAACCATCCTGGCACTCCATGACAGCAACACTTCCCTGCTGATCAGGACTATCCATTCCATGATTGATTTGACTATCCATTCCAATTTGATTTTTCCCCCCGTGGTTCTGTGCCTCCCCCGGTGTTCCTGCAGGCACCACGTGTCTGATCGCCCTCCTGTCCGACAAGGAGCTGACCGTGGCCAACGTGGGCGACTCCCGGGGCGTCCTCTGTGACAAGGATGGCAATGCCATCCCCCTGTCCCACGACCACAAGCCCTACCAGCTGAAGGAGAGGAAGAGGATTAAGAGAGCTGGTGAGTTGTTGGAAGGTTCAGCTTTTATTTGTCACTAAAATTGACATTTTCCCCGGAGAGGGTGGGAAGCGCCCGGCTGAGGCGGCAGCAGATCAAATCTCCTGTTCTCTGCCCAAAATTCCAGTGGGATGCCCCAAGGCAGAGGTGACAGCAGATCAAATTGGAGTTCATTGTCCCATCCCAGCTTTAGCCCCTGCAGTCCCACCCTGCTTGTTTTTCTCTCTCCAGCCCACGGGGTTTGTGCTCTTGGGGCTGAGATTTGGGTCATTTGTCCTTGGTGCCCAGCTGGAGCAGGAATTGTTTTGTCTCCCTGCTCTGTGCACAGAGCTCACCATCCCCTCATGGGAAGCTCAGAACTGCACACTAAAGCAGCACAGAATGTGAAACACAGAAAAGCTCAAACCTGAGGCATCACCTCCCACATTCTGATCTCTGTAACCCCTCATGATGAAACTTTGGGGGGTCTGGCGGGAACCAGAAATCTCCTTGGATGTTCCAAAGAGCTCCTTGGATATTCCAAAGACCTGTTTAGATGTTCCAAGAAAGAACAGCCTGGATGTTCCAGAGAGCTCCTTGAATGTTCCAAAGAGCTGCTTGGACATTCCAAAGAAAGAGCTGCTAGGATGTTCCAGAGAGCAGCTTGGGCATCCCAAAGAGCAGCTTGGGCATCCCAAAGAGCTGATTGAAGCACTCTTTTCCCCCCAGGTGGGTTCATCAGCTTCAACGGCTCGTGGCGCGTGCAGGGCATCCTGGCCATGTCGCGCTCGCTGGGCGATTACCCCCTGAAGAACCTGAACGTGGTGATCCCCGACCCCGACATCCTGAGCTTTGACCTGGACAAACTGCAGCCAGAGTTCATGATCCTGGCCTCGGACGGGCTGTGGGACGCCTTCAGCAACGAGGAGGCCGTGAGGTTCATCAAGGAGCGCCTGGACGAGCCGCACTTCGGCGCCAAGAGCATCGTGCTGCAGTCCTTCTACAGGGGCTGCCCCGACAACATCACAGTCATGGTGGTGAAGTTCAGGAATAGCAGCAAAGCAGAGGAGCAGCAGTGAGGAGCCCCCGGGCCCGCTCAGGACTCAGAACAGTTTGTGTGTGCTGGGAAGCTCCAGGAACGCCGTGCGGGCTCTCCCGCAGCCGCGGATCCCTCTGGGCCCTGCTCGTGGCTTGACAAAAGGAGCAATACAACAAATAAATCCATGCTGAGCGACCACAAGAATCCAGTTTGTCCCCTGTCCCTGCCCCGTGCCCTCGCTGCTCCCTAGGAAGCGACTGGAACCTCCCATTTCTCACTTTTCTTTAGGAATCCTGTGTAGGTTTGGGTTTGATTCCTCCCCTCGCGTGGGGCAGGGCAGGGGCAGGGCAGTGCTGCTGCTTCTCCCTCCTGGGTGTCACTGCTCAGGAGCTGCTCTCGTGTTCCCCATCTCTGCACCCTGCAGTGGTAGGGGTGGGTGGAGAAGGGTTTGTGATGTGAAGGAGGAAGAGGAGCCAGCCCTGAGCCTGCTGCCACTGCTGGCTCTGCTTTGTTCAACCTCCCCCCACAATGAACCCCTGCCAAGCATGTGAGTAGGTAGAGCTCCTGAGTTACCACGTTTATTCAGGCTGTGCATTACTCTAGGACAGTTCTTCTAGGCCATATTGTATCCAAACCAACTCATGGTGAACTCCAGCAAAGCCCTGGGAGCTCTGAAGCGCCTGGGTGGGAGCAGAATGTCTGTCCCTCACCGAGATCACCCCGACCTTACTGCTGTGGCATGGACTTGGAAGGAGATGTGAGAGAAAATGGATTTCACTGGTGACTGTTGGGAGCCTCACCCAAGCAGGGCGTTCCTCAGAGCTACCTAGCTGGAAGCCAAGCCTGTGAGAGACTTCCCTGTACCTCTGCAATGGATTTGTGGTGTTAATCCCAGGGCAGACCCCTCTGGACGGGCTTTTGGGATGACATGCAAATGCCAGGCAGCATCAATGCACTGTAGAGATGAAAGGTTGTGTTAAATCTAGATTTTAAAAGTATGTTTAGATCTAACTTTCAGTATTTAATTGTATTTTGGGGTCTGTGAGTGCTGTAAGTTGGAGTGAGGACGGTTTGGGTTTGCTGCACCTCTGGTGCCAGCTGTGTCATGGCAGAGGGACAGGGCAGGCAGGATTTTGGATGGCTCCTTTATCCTTATCCTGCCTTACAGAACTCCTTGGGATCTCCCCAGAACGTGGTCCTGGACAATCTGCTCAAGTCTTCAGGGTGATGGAGGCTGCCTGTGTTTGGTGTGGAGCTGGGTCAGGGATGGGATGGATTCCCTGCCCTTGCCTGTTCCTTGGGAAAGTCCAACATTCCTCAATTCCCAGCTGTGCCCCCCTGCTCACCTGAAGGGGTCTGGGGAGGGGCTGAGGAGGTCGGAGTCTCTCAAGGCAAAAAATCAAAGAGCACAAACTTCTGCTCGAGAAGGAATCCCCATCTTGGTCTTGTTTCGTCCCTAGCTCGCCTCTCCCCCAACAAACTTCCCTCCTTTAATTTGTCTCAGCCCTTAATTGGTGGTATTTCCAAAGTGTGCCTGGAGCCCTGTGCTGATGCTGAGCTCCAGGAAGAGCCCCTGAGCAGTGTCCAGCAGGCAGGCAGGAGCCTGCCCTGCTCCTTTCCCTGCCCTTCCCCATCCTTGGTGCAGCTGAACAGGAATTGCTGATATTTGCCTCAGGGGTTGCAGTGTGCACTGAGGGCAGTGAGGACAGAGTGCTGGCAAGTGCAGCCCCGGGGTGGGGAGGATTCCATGGGAATGCTGGATCTGGGCTGGAATGGCACAGAGCACTGGGGGAGCAGCTCCAGGCAGAGCTCAGGGTGTGGAGTTTGCCTTCCCTGTTCCCCTTGTGCCTTCCCTGTCCCCTTGCGCCTTCCCTGTCCCCTTCCCTGTCCCCTTCAGTGTCCCCTTGTGCCTTCCCTGTCCCTTTCAGCATTCCCCTTGTGCCTTCCCTGTCCCCTTCAGTGTCCCCTTGCACCTTCCCTTTCCCCTTCCCTGCTCCCCTTGTGCCTTCCCTGTCCCCTTCCCTGTCCCCTTGTGCTGTCCCTGTCCCCTTGTGCCTTCCCTGTGGAGGGCACAGCTCCTGGGCAAGGAGGAATTCCAGCAGCTCTGAAGGACAGGGGTGTTTGTGATCCCTGAGCCATGCCAGGCAGTGCAGGAGCTGCAGTGGTGGCCATGCCCAGAGGAACAGCACAGATCCAGCGGGGGTGGCAGCTCCTGGGGCATTCCTGAGGGATCCATGGGCTCTGAGCACAGGAACAGGAGCTGGCAGGTATGGCAGCAGGGGCAGGGCAGGGAGCCACTCCACAAGGGGATTCAGGCAAAGCCAGCAAGGCAGGAGGGGTTTGCAGGTTTGCTGGATCGTTCCAGGATCGTTCCAGGATCATTCCAGGATCATTCCAGGATCATTCCCTGTCCCTCAGCCAGCCCTGTGCCAAGCTCCAAGTGGCTGCAGCTTCCTCCCCCCTCCCTGGCAGGGCTGTCCTGGCCGGAGCCATCCATGCCAACAATCTCTGCTCAGCCCGGGGATTTTTGCTTTGGTTGCTTTGAAAATGGAGCTTCAGCTGCTTCGGGTTTGAAGAGGAAGGACTGATGGAGGTGAGAGGCTTTGTGTGGTGTCCCACACCCACATGCAGTGCCTACCTGTGCTCCCAGCTGGAAGCTTTGGAAGCTTTCCCTGCAAAGGGAGGCGTTTCCAGCTTCCCAGTGGTGCTGATTTGTGCCAAACTCTGTCGTGACACAGCTGGAGGCTGGCAGGATGAACTCCTTGTACATAATCGCTGATGCAGGGCTCTCCCACTGCCTTAACACTCCATCCTCCACCTGGGCAGGTGCTGTGGCCAGGAATTCTCTCAGGCTGTGGCAGCGGGGCTCCAGGCTCCTGCTGCTGCCCTCCCGACCACAGGGAGCTGCCTCTGGGAGCTGCTGCTGCCCGCCCAGCCGGGTCTGGGGGCTCCATCCCCTGGGGCCCAGCCGGGTCTGGGGGCTCCATCCCCTCGGGCACAGCCGGGTCTGGGGGCTCCATCCCCTGGGGCACAGCCGGGTCTGGGGGCTCCATCCCCTGGGGCCCAGCCGGGTCTGGGGGCTCCATCCCCTGGGGCCCAGCCGGGTCTGGGGGCTCCATCCCCTGGGGCACAGCTGGGTCTGGGGGCTCCATCCCCTGGGGCACAGCCGGGTCTGGGGGCTCCATCCCCTGGGGCACAGCCGGGAGCTCCTGCTGCCCGCCCAGCCGGGTCTGGGGGCTCCATCCCCTGGGGCACAGCCGGGTCTGGGGGCTCCATCCCCTGGGGCCCAGCCGGGTCTGGGGGCTCCATCCCCTGGGGCCCAGCCGGGTCTGGGGGCTCCATCCCCTGGGGCACAGCCGGGTCTGGGGGCTCCATCCCCTCGGGCAGAGCTGGCAGCTCCTGCTGCCCAATCCCCTGGGGACAGCTGAGCCTCAGGGCACAGGGAGTGGCTGCCAGGGAGCACCTGCAGGTGACCCAAGGTGACCAAGGGACCTTGAGCCACGAGGCTGAGCCAGTGCTGGGGAATGGGGCTGTTCCCAAATTGGGCTGTTCCCAAATTGGGCTGTTCCAGGGGCATCCCAGTGCTCAGGAACTGGGTTCTTCCCAAACTGGGCTGTTCCCAAACTGGGCTGTTCCCAAACTGGGCTGTTCCCAAACTGGGCTGTTCCCAGGGGTGTCCCAGCTCCCAGCTCTGGGGAATTGGGCTGTTCCCAAACTGGACATTCCAGCTCCCAGCACTCTGGAGTTGGGCTGTTCCCAAATTGGGCTTTTCCCAAACTGGGCTGTTCCCAAATTCATCTGGTCCCAGGGATGTCCCAGCTCCCAGTGCTTGGGAATTTGAGCTGTTCCCCAGGCATGTCCCAGTGCTCAGGAGCTGGGCTGTTCCCAGGGCCATTCCAGCTCCCAGCACTCTGGAGCTGGGCTGTTCCCAAGCCGGGCTGTTCCCAGGGCTGTCCCAGCTCCCAGTGCTGGGGATTTGGGCTGTTCCCAAGCTGGGCTGTTCCCAAGCTGGGCTGTTCCCAGGGCTGTCCCAGTGCCTCCTCTGGGATGCTCTGCTGATTCCCTCAGCCTGCAGCACAGGGATTGCTCTGGAGCTCATCCATCCCTGGGGTCATTCCCGCGCTGTCCCAGCCTGTCCCCAGCGTGTGGCACCGTGGCTCCTTCTGCTGGCCTGAGACATTCCCACAAACCCCACAGCAGCCCCTGGGATAAAGGGTTCCAGCTCCCACTGCTGCTGCTAAACCATTGCAGGGTTAAACCATTCCCAGAGGTGAAATTAAAAATAGTGTGAAGATTTTAGAGTCCAGGAGTCAGGATTAAAGCACTGCATCAGCTTGGCTGCAGAAACACCAATGCCACAGCCTCAAAAAAAAAAAAACAAAAAAACAAACATAATAAAGGGAATTTTGTGTCTCAGGATACAGGAGAGTCCTGCTTTAAATAATATGGATTTATTGCTGATGTAGCTGATACTTGTTTTACACAGAGAAGCATTTAGTCAGTGATTATATCACAGAACAAACACCTCAGCAGCTTTTCATGCCCCAAAGCTGGATTTTAGGCCTCTGAACAAAATTCCAGGTGAGAATGTTCTGCTGGAATTTGGCCACTGCAGAGCCCAGAGCTGCAGCCTCTGTGCCCAATATATTCATAAATGGCCTTTCTGAAACTCCCAGAGAAAAAAGATCTGTACAGACAATTAACAATGAGCTGAAGCTTTGTTACTTTTTATTTTTCCAGTGCTGACTGGAAAAGGCTTAGGGGAGCCAGGGGATAAATCTGGATTTTCCTGAGGGAACCCAGAATTCCAGGGATCAGCTCTGGAGGATGATCTGGGTGCTCTGGGAAGCAAAACCTGGTGGGTGCAGCTGCCAGAACCACAAACAGAGGCTGGAGGGCAATTCCTGAGGGGAAAACGATGGATTCATTCCATGGATTTGGGCAGCTCCTGTGCCTGCTCTGCCCAGCCCTGAGGGAGATGGAATTGGGGGGGGGTTTAAGGTCCCAAGCCAGTCTGGGATTCTGGGAATTATCTCAGCAATAGGGAACTAAAGCACTTTGGTTCTTTTTCCCAAGCGTATTTCATGGCCAATCCTGCATTTTTTGGAAGCCTGAGTTGCACCCATGGGCACAGGAGCCTCTCTGACACCAAACATCCAGAAATGGGAGGCAGAATGTAGGGAAATGCCCCAACCATCCTGTTACACTGAGCACAGGGAATCTCCTGTCTGATTTGTGGGAATTTCCTTGTGCCAGCATTGCAGCATTCAACTCCTCTGAAATAACACCCAGACTGGGAATTTCACCTTGGAACCCACTTCTGCTCCCCACCCAGCAGCAACTTCCAAACACCTTTGCCCAATCAATTATTATTATTATTATTATTATTATTATTAGGCTTTTCAGGTCAGGAAACCCCACAGTTTTCCCATCAAAATCACAAATATTTGGAATTCTGATTTCATACAGCTGCATGAAAAAAAAAAATCCTTATTTGGGATTTGAGAAACCTTTAACCTGTGTTTTACACTTTGTTTTTAGTACAATATTCCAGGCAGATGCAATAAAATTTGGCCCCTCCCTACTTCAATGCCCAGATTATTTCATACTTTTAAGGTTTTTCACCTTTTGCCAGGCTGCTCACACTAAAAACTTCCCTAAAATGGCTTTGAGCAGAACCAGGAGCTCAGTTAGGAATTTTACAGCCTTTTAAGCAATAATAAAGTCAGAATCAAATACAAGCCAGACTTGGAATTGAGTTTTTTTTTTTAAGAAAACCAGGAGCAGGATGGATGTTTTCCCAATGCTGCTGGCACTGTAAATGACAATTAACTTCAGGTGGCACAAAGAGATCACTGTGTACAAACCTTGGAACCTGAGAGCAGCGTCAGCATTTGGGGCACACAAACCCCGAGTTCCTGCAGGTGACAGGAGAATTTCTGGCCATCCCCACCTCCCCAGGACTCTCATTCCTCCCCCACCACGGGCACTCTCTGCTTTATCCATTTTCTGAAGGCAGCAGAGTCACGGTTACCTTTTTATTTTGGAAAAAGCAATACAAGCTGTGCTGTAGTATCAGTGTTCTTGTGGTAAATAATTTATTTCCAAGCATTTCACACGGCAGGCTCAGAGAAGCACGGAGGGGTGTGGGGTTTGAGATGTGCAAACAATCACAGAACAAGGCAGTTCTCCCAGTACCTGCTCAGAGAACAATCAAATCCCAGCTCCCAAACCCGCAGCACAGCTGGAATTTCACCTGGAATAAAAGCATCATTCCCTCAGTTATGCAATACTGTATTTTCCCAAAAAAAAAAAAAATTAATAATAATAATACCCTTTATTTTTTAAAAGCTTTGACCTTTTTCCCCATCAGAACACTGAAATCCTTGTCTGGAGGAGTGTTGTCCCCAAGACTTTTTCATCCCAAAAACAAAAATCCACAAGAAATTCCACCCCAGCCCCAGGTGCAGCTGTGGAGCAGAGCCAAAGCCAGCGGTGTCCCCAGGGTGCTGGGGGCACTGGTGACCCCTGGGCTCTGCCAGGGCTGTGGGTGCTGCCAGGGCTGTGGGTGCTGCCCTGGGCTCTGCCAGGGCTGTGGGTGCTGCCAGGGCTGTGGGTGCTGCCCTGGGCCCTGCAGGGCTGTGGGTGCTGCCAGGGCTGTGGGTGCTGCCCTGGGCTCTGCAGGGCTGTGGGTGCTGCCAGGGCTGTGGGTGCTGCCAGGGCTGTGGGTGCTGCCAGCCCGAGGGGAAGCCCTGGCAGCGTGGCCAGGGCGTCTCCGCAGTCCCTCCCCCGTGTAGTGGATGTGTCCAGGTCAATTCTGTTCATGCAACTGCAAATTCTGTATCGTTGTCCATTAGAAGTGTAAACTACTGAGAACTGGGCCTTGCTGATATGAATAAAGTGATTAAAAAATGGTCTTTACACACAGGGAGGAGTTGGTTTTCTCTAAAGTAGCAACGGGTGGATTTCTTCTTTTTTGCGTTTTCAAACTGGAACCAAATGATTCATCTAGGCATAAAAAAAATTCATGAAGAAACAGGCACAACAAAAATGGTTTTTCATCTTCTCCACAGGGTTCCAAAAGTCCTGGGATGCAGCACACACACACACACACACAGGGGTGGGGGGATTGATGATCCCAGTGTTTTTGGGATGTCCATGTTGATCGTGAGCTCCACTCCATCCCCCTGGTCTGGGAGCACCAGCAGGGACACCAAAGCCTCTCCATTTAATATGCACACACAAAGTGCATCACATCTCCAGCATTTCTCACCAGCTCCTGCAGATCCCACAGGATCCCCAGGCTGGGAACACTCCTGGAAACCTCGTGGAGATGAGAAATTTAAATAACAAGGTGTGGCAGTCTCAGGAGGTTTACACAGCAAACAAGGTGGGGTTGGTTTGGGCTAGGCAGAGAACAAATAAAGGAGAGTGGCAATAAAGCAATAAAACCAATCCAGGCAGGAATTCAGGAAGCATCCTCCAAGCTGCTTTCTTGGCAGGAACATCTTTCCTCGATAGCATTTTGTACATTCCAGAAGATTCAGTGGGAAATCCCAGGGCTGCTCCGAGGACAAGGAAAGGCAGCAGAGGCAGATGGGACAGAGCATTCCAAGGCACCCTCTGGCTGTGGGATACACACCTGGAAAAGTGCTTTGTGAATCCCTGGTTTTGTTGAAAAGCACTGGAATGCCCTAGAGAAACACTGCCCCAGCAGTCAGAGTCATTCTAGAGGCCACTCTCACAGCCAATGGAAGATTCTAAAGAAATCCACAATCAAAGGCAAGGTTTTGAAGTGTTGGCTGACAAATCCTGCCAAAACTGGATCAGTTCACTTGATGTAAGGCCATGAACTGCAATCAAACGCCTGTACTTGCAGATATCAAAGTCGATTTTATAGAGAAAGAATTGTTCTGCATCTTGTGGAAGAGTGATGTTGACTTTGAGTATATTTAAGCAAATCCCCACATAAACATCCTCAAATTTCAGAGGTCTGACGTGGCTCATCAGCTCGTAAGTCCTCAGGGCCAGTTTTCCATCCAGGATGTATCCCAGGCCGCTGCAGTAGGGAGGATAGAGCCTGAAGGGATATTCCTGGTAGGAGATGAACCTTTTCCTGTCAGCGCCTCGGTAGGCGAAGTTATCGATGAGGGGGTACCCGGTGAAAACGTTCTCCGAGGAGTTCAGCTGCAGCAGGAGCTGCACCAGGTTGGGAGTGTTGATGAAGACATCGGCGTCGGTCTTCATGAAGAACCTGGCGCTGGAACAGAACTCAGAGAACCACTGGAAGGCCATGATGGTCTTCAGGGTGAGGTTGTCATACGTGTCCACGAAGTCCTGGCGGATGATGTCCCCGTAGAGGATGCTCTCGTCCTCCACCGCCAGCGCCGCCGCCCTGTCCTCCCTCTGCGTGTCCTGCCCCAGCAGGAACAGCGTCAGGATGCGCTGGCCCCACCAGGACTCCCGGGAGCCCCACGTGATCCTGATGGCCTGCCTGGCTTTCAGGTCCCCGGGGCTGGAAGCCACCAGGATGACCAGGAAGGGGCGGAGGTCGGTGCAGGTGGGGCGCGCGCGCAGCGTGAACGGGCGCGGCTGCCGGTGCACAGGCTCGTACTCGTAGAAGTACAGAGGGTTCACAGTCTCCAGGGCAGCCCTGGGGGAGGAGGTTATGTACCACACGGTTATCGTGGAAAACACCACCAGAGACACGAAAATCCATCTCAAAGGTCTCATGTACAAGGCGCTGATCAGGACCGGGATCATGGTCGGGATCTGCTGGTGCCGCTCAGGATCTGTTCCATGAGTCCTGGAGCATCTTCCTCACTGAAGGAGAAAGGGGAAAGTGGCATTCAGAGTGCTGTTAGTCAAATATTCCCTTTTCCTTGTGTTGGCTGAAGCGCCAGCTGGAATTGTGCTGTGGTACCAGCTAAGGCAAGCATTCCTGATCCAGCTGTCCTGATCCCAGGGATGGCACGGAGCCCCAGCCCAGCAGGGTTTGCTGAGTGTAGGGCACAGAGCCCCTGCCCAGCAGGGTTTGCTAAGCAGGGCACAGAGCCCCTGCCCAGCAGGGTTTGCTGAGTGTAGGGCACAGAGCCCCTGCCCAGCAGGGTTTGCTGAGTGTAGGGCACAGAGCCCCAGCCCAGCAGGGTTTGCTGAGTGTAGGGCATGGAGCCCCAGCCCAGCAGGGTTTGCTGAGTGTAGGGCACAGAGCCCCAGCCCAGCAGGGTTTGCTGAGTGTAGGGCACAGAGCCCCAGCCCAGCAGGGTTTGCTGAGTGTAGGGCACGGAGCCCCAGCCCAGCAGGGTTTGCTGAGTGTAGGGCACAGAGCCCCAGCCCAGCAGGGTTTGCTGAGCAGGGCTTGCACAAAAAGCAAAGCTCGTGGCTTCCACCCTGCAGTCCCCCCCTGCACAGACCTGATCTCCAGGCAGGGTCCTGCTCCAAGAATCCAGGGATCTCCAGGTGCCTCTGACTCGACTCCACCTCAAGGACACAGGACCGTGCACAAAACCCAGCAAACTCTCAGGAAGCGGATGCTCAGAGCCTCAGAGTTTTGGTTTTTCTGTTCATGCACAAAACCCAGCAAACACTCAGGAAGCGGATGCTCAGAGCCTCAGAGTTTTGGTTTTTCTGTTCATGCACAAAACCCAGCAAACACTCAGGAAGTGGATGCTCAGAGCCTCAGAGTTTTGGTTTTTCTGTTCATGCACAAAACCCAGCAAACACTCAGGAAGCGGATGCTCAGAGCCTCAGAGTTTTGGTTTTTCTGTTGGAGGCAGGAAATCTGCGTGATCTGCATGAGCCTCAGCACGTGGGCAGGAAAGCAGAACTGGGAGCAAGTGCTTCACTTTCATTCAAGGCCTGAGCAGCTGCTGCTGCTGAGAGGGAGGGGGGAAGGTAAAAATCACCTTCCTTAAATCAAGCGACATACTCAAGCTGGTTTTGACTAAAATCATGACTGTTTTTACCATCAGCCAGGTGATTTTTGGATTTGAGGCACACAAATCCACAGCAGGTCCTTCCAAACCCCTGTGGAATCCGTGCTGAAGCCGCTGCTCCAATGTCAGGATTAGAGATTCCAATGGATAAACCTTCACAAAATTCAGTTTAAAACCAAACCCCCGGGCCTGTACCCACATGTAGTTTTATTTCCTTAAAACTACACGTGCTCTATCATCTATTTTAGACATCTTTAAGCCAAAATAACCCCAGTGCCTAACTGTGGGAATTCCAAATGGTTTCTGATGTTTGCAGTGATAATATTTATCCTGCACAAGCACACACAAAGACACAGTCAGGATGACAGAAGGTTTGGTTTCACAGCACAGTTAATTACCCTTTATCTTCAAAAATATAACCACAGGGCTCATAAATGTTTTCGATTTGACAAATAAATCCAACCTCCAGAACAGCACTGTGGAGTCCAGGGGAATTTGATTTTCCAGAGCCCACCTGCCTCGTGTTTCTGTGTAGGATCTGATTTAAATTAATCATCCTTTAAAGGAAGCATTTGGAGAACATTTCACCAACAATGGCCTTAAAACAGATTAAAGCAATTTTATATAAAGCATTTAAACAGAAGAATTTCAGACTGATTCCTCTCAAAATCAGTAATTAACTAATAGGAATCTTCTCTTTTTATGCACCAACCTGAATTTCAGTGGAGAATAGGAGAACACATACTGGAAGAAAATAACCTAGGTTATGTATCAGTATTATTCGATTTTAGATCAATAACATTTATTTTGATTATCAACTTTAAAGCTTATCAGTGCAAACTGATCCGTTTGATCAGTTCCTGTCCGCCTAATGGAAAAAATATTATAGTTTGATTTTTAAAGGAAGAAAAAGCCTGGTTTCATGACACTCTAAACAACAAAATTGGAGACAAATCCTGACCTGCTACATAAGGAAAAATCTGTGAAAATAAACATCAGTTCAGGTCCTTCAGGAAACACCAGCCACACAGGGAAATAAATCCCCACCTTCTCCTCTTTGGAGCGCTTGTAGCACAGTTGAGTCAGCAAGCTCTGAGCACTCCTGCTCAGTCACGGTGCAGGTTCTGCCCTTCCAGCTCCTCCTCCACCTCCAGACTTTGTGCTGGCACTCGTTCCCTTCCAGCTGTGGATGACAGCTCCTTCCAGGGCATTGCTTTCATTTTCTTCCAAGCTGAGATTGCGCCAAAAGATAAAACTGGTGACTTTTGAGATAAATGTGAGGCAACACAAGGCTCAGAATGCTCCTCTACAGGGATTTAGATCCATCTCCACCTAGGCAGGGGATTGTGTAATGTGGACGTGCTTGGGCATGAAAAAGGTGGGAAATTCTCATATTCATTAAAGATTACTAATTATAATAACCAATAGTCCAATATGATTATTTTAAAATACCACAATAAGAGGTGTATGGGAAAATAATTCCTTTTTAAGGCTACCAGCAGAAATAATTTGGAAATATATTATTTAAAGCTGGCTTTAGGGCCGGCTTGGGCGCAGCCTGGACTATGGGACACGTGTCCCCGCACACGGCAGGAGATGAGCAAGATTAAGTTTAAAGTCCTTCCAGCCCAAACCAGCCACCGATTATACGTGAACTTAAAACCAATCGAAACTAGAGGCAGTTTTGCAAGACCCCGGGCCGCGATGCTCTAATATAACAAAACTTCAACTTAAAAAATAAAAAAAAAAAACACCTTTACAAGACCTTTACCAGCGCCTGGCTGTCACTCGCTCCCAGTCACCTTTGCCGGAGCGCGGGGAGCGCGGGGAGGTGGTGCCGGGCAGGAGGGGACGGCAGCGGGGCTGTGCCGCCCTCTGCCGAGCCCAGACACCCCTTCCAGCCTTTTTCTGGCCTTTTTCTGGCCTTTTTCTGGGCTTCTGCATCCCAGCCGGCAGCGCCGCGCCGCTCGGGGCTGTGCGCGCTTCCCCCGCACGCATCGCACCCCACCCTGGGCTGCCCGAGCGCCGCGAAGCCGCTCTCCATCCCCATCCCATCCCATCCCCATTCCATCCCATCCCATCCCATCCCCATCCCATCCCATCCCATCCCATCCCATCCCATCCCATCCCATCCCATCCCCATTCCCGTTACCGTGTCCCGCTCGGGCGCTCCGGGCCGGGCGCGGCGGCCGCAGCGGGAAGGAGCCGCCTCCCCTTCCGCCTCCCCGAGCGGCGCCCGCTCCTCCGCCCTCCCCGGCCCCGGCCCCGGCTCCCCGCGTCCCTCCGGCAGCCGGGGCCGGGCACGGGCAGCCGAGCCGCCTCCCCTCGGTGCCCCGGCCGTGAGGATTCGCCGCCCGATTCGTGCATCCATCACCCTCGTCACTCCATCGAGCCTGCCCGGACAAGATGGGTTTGCGTCCTGCTGCTCGGTTCACGAAAGGGTTACAGGGCAGAGTTGGAGCTCGGATTAGTCAGTGCTCAGTCAGCTGTCCCCGTTTATGGCTCTGGTTCTGCAGGGGGACCGGGAGCTCGGCACAGAGGAGGTAACTGGATCGGGTAAGAGACGCGGTACAATTGACCAATGGACCAAAGTACCCCGGGGGTAACAGCGCAATGTCCCCCGAGAGTCCCTATCGACGGGGAGGTTTGCGATGTTGGATCAGGGCATCCCGGTGGTGCAGCCGCTACTGAGCGTTCGTTTGTTCCGCGATTAACAACAACAGGTCGCAGGCCGGCAGAGCAAAGCCAGCCTTGGACAAAGCGAGGGTGGAAAGGGTTCGGTCCGGTCCGCTCCGGCTCCCGGGGTCGCACCGGCAGCAGGAGGGCTCTGTCCTGCGGCCCCACCTCGGCACCAGCGCGGGGAATCCTCCCGGGAGCGGCTCTGGCGCGGTCAGAAACCCGCAGAGCCCCACAGGAATTACCTCGTAAAGAGTCAGAGTCTGCTGGATCCCCGCTTTGAAGTGACAGCTGATGGAGGAAACAACAGCTGTTATCATAAACACCCCGCGCAGGTGGAGCACGCAGAGCGGGGAACTGTGAGTGCTCTCTGGGGACAGAGCATCCATCCCTGCCTTGCTCAAGATATCCCTATTTTATTGGAATCCCATCAGGGAATTCTGGTCCATTTGACCATTTGTTAAGCCTGTGTTCTGCAGTTTGCTGCCTCCCCATCTTTCAATCCATTCATGTCCATTCATTTGTAAAGAAATGCAAGCACTTTCTTCCCTGGTTTAATACATCCTGACCTGCTCCTGAAAACCCCTGCACATCACCCAGCCGTGTTATTAACCATGAAAAACGTGCAGCAGGGAGTGTGCCACTGTCATCTCTCTTTGCCCCCAATTAGTCCTGGTCTAACCCTTTTAGCCTCAAGAGAAACCAGATTACAACTTGTCTGTCAGGGCTGAGGTGGATTTTACGCAACCAATGTGGCAATTATCAAAATGATTGCTCTATCAGTCAGCAGCTTGGTACAAGACCTTTACATCTTTTTGCTGATTCTGGGCTTTCTGAAGCAAAGAGGAATGGTTTGCTGGGTGTAAGGGCAACTCCTGCAGTACTCAGGATGTGTCAGAGCAGCCCAATGTGCATCCACTATCAGGAAAATGAACAGTCAATAGGAACTCATTAATAGCTGACTAAATTTTCTATCTCCCCTTGCTTTATTCTGCTACTTGGAATGGTGGCCAAAGAAATGATCAAGACTTGGTTATTTCCTCGCTTCTTGACCCTTTCCTGAATGAAATCTTCATTGGGCAACCACAGAATAGAGCAAAATGAAGGTAACAGGAATTTTTAGTGTGAGGCAGCAGGGTCTCAGTGATGACCAGACCACAAGCTCTGGATTTAGGCTCCACCTTGCGGGGTGCAGTTGAACTGATTCACCAACAACACAAACAAACTGCCTGAGTTTACAGCCCTGGCAGGAGGAGTCACTGAGGCAGCTGCTTAGGGCAGAGCCCAGTTTTAGTGGAGTTCTTTTAGGGTTTGATTGAGCCCATGGGCTGGAACTCACATTTGAGACCACCTAAGATCAGTTTGTGGGAGATGAATGCACTGATAAATCAGCTACCAGCTCATTTTGTGGCTTGCTGAGTATGGACAAATCTTAAATCATAAATCTCCCCTCCTCACTGCTTGTGTTCATATCTAGATGCCTTGTGCAGGAGCAGAGGCTGGGCAGAGCTCCAGAATAAAGCAGGGATTCATTCCAAGCATCTCCTCCATGGATCCACCTTGGGCAGCACCAGAGCCCAGCCAGGGCTGCACCCAAGATGAACCAAAATGGCCCCAAAATGCACCAGCGCTCCCGGGCTCTCTGCCTTGGATCAGTTCTGCTCCATTTGCACCTTGCAGTTCATTGTCCCATCCCAGCTTTAGCCCCTGCAGTCCCACCCTGCTTGTTTTTCTCTCTCCAGCCCACGGGGTTTGTGCTCTTGGGGCTGAGATTTGGATCATTTGTCCTTGGTGCCCAGCTGGAGCAGGAATTGTTTTGCCCACCTACTCTGTGAAGAGAGCTCACCAACACTTAACATGAAGCTCAGAACTACGCACTAAACCAGCACAGAATCTGGATATAAAATATCAGACTATAAAAGCTAAAGCTTAAGGCATCAATCTCATTTTTCTCCCAGCTGGCTGTGGATGCTCAGGGGGATTCTGTCAGAGCCAGGACGTGGCCATGCTCAGGGAATGCATGGATCAGGCTGCAGGTGCTGGGACACGGCTGTTCAAACCAGCTGGCAGCCTGTAACCTTTGTGCCCGTGCCAGTGGGGCCGGGGTTACTCATCCCAGTCCCACCCACGGGCTTGGCACGGAGCTCTGCGCTTCCGAAGCCTCGTGGCTCCTTATCGCCCCGATAAAAGCCGCGTGTGTTCGTGCAGAGCTCCGGCTGCTCCAGAGCTCACAGCTGCCTCTTCTCCTCTCTGCTTGTGCCTCACCTCAGCAGGGGGACAGGCAGCGACACAAACTGGCCCCAGGGAAGAGGGGGAATATCCCTGGAGTAGAGAATTTATCCCCTGGATAAATGGGCCTGCAGAACGCCAAGGCCTCAAGGAAGGGGGCCAGCATCCCCATGCTGGGGCTGGACTCGGCGGGCAAATCCACGCTGCTCTACAAGCTCAGGTACGAAGATGCTTTTATAACAGTGCCGACGATCGGCTTCAATGTGGATATGATTGAAGCGGGGAAGGATTTCACGCTGACGTTTTGGGATGTTGGGGGACAGAAGAAAATGAGAGAGCTCTGGAGCAATTTCCTGGAAGACGCCGGCGGGCTGCTGTATGTGGTGGACAGCTCTGACAAGCGGCGCCTGGAGGAGTCCAGGAGGGAACTGGAGCTCATTTTAAAGAACGAATCCATCAAAAACGTCCCGGTGGTGGTGCTGGCCAACAAGCAGGATTTGCCTGGAGCCCTGAACGCGGAGGAGATCACCAGGAAGCTCAAGATAAAGAAGTACTGCAGTGACAGGAACTGGTACGTGCAGCCCTGCTGTGCCATCACGGGAGAGGGGCTGGCAGAGGCTCTCCAGAGGGTGGCCACCTTTGCCAGGCAGTACAAGAAGTCAAAGGAGACTTTCATCACCCTGAAGGAACTCAACTCCTTTTAAGGATTTCTACCATCCACTTCTGGTGACTCTTGACATACTTCACTGGACAGATTAAATCTGGAAGTACAGGATTCTGAAGAACTTTTATACATAAATATTTATAAGGGACCTTGATAATATTAAATTTTACTGTTATACCTGGAGATACTTGATGTACCTGATGGGATATCTCATACCTGAGATAGGACTCTGCAGCATTTTATTATTATTTTTTTACTTACTTGGAGTTATTCAAGTTGAATGATGAGAAAGGGGCAGTCGAGCACATGGAAATAAAATAGGTGAGCAGTGTTTCAGTGGCTTAAGTCAAATGAAGATTCAATTTTTTTCAAGTCATTTGGTCAGCAGTGATCAAATGCTGTTTTGTAATAAATGGAATAGATGTGTTTCGTGTTTGAAAATAGAGTGGGGTGAGAGCTGCAGCTGTAGTTATGTACAGGAGGATTTGGCTGTTTCTGCACTCTGGTAACAATTCCTGCAGGGAGGTGGTGACGAGCAGGACAGAGCAGGACGGGCAGAGCCTGGCTCCAGGGCTGTCCCCAGGGTGCAGCCGTGAGTTCCCAGTGTCCCAGAGGTGCTGCTCCCCTTGCTCCTGCACTGCTGCTCTGCCCTCCCCACAGGACACCAGCCCGGGAAGAGCTGAATCCCCTGGGGTTTGTGGGCATTTCCCAGTCCTGGCCGCTGGAAAAGCCGTGCCAGGGGTCCCCTTGTGCTCTCCTTTTTTTGGTTTTAGGATTACACCAAGGAAGTAGGTGGGAAGTAGGAAGTTTGCATTTCATTCTTACTAATAAACAGACAGGAATGTCAAGTTATAAAAGGGTGAAGCAGCAATAAAATCACCCAGACATACCCTGTTGTCTCATGCATGGGTTATTCAAAGACAAAAAACATCAGGTGGGTTTGCTGAAATAGTAAACAAAGGGAAGTTTCCCAATAGTGGCTGTTATTAATACTGAGACTAATTAATTACCAGGGGCTAAATCCTGAGTCATGCTGAGACTTGCTAAAAGCAGAGCAAATGTCTGGATTTCTCATTGCCTGCTCTGGTGATTCGGGCTCAATAGAAAATAGCATCTTCTGCCCCTAAAAAAATCTTTAAAAGGCATTAATGTTGGTTTTCCAAGGCAAAAAAATTCAATGTTTAAAAATATTATATTTCATATTGATACATTTATAAATGTTTGCATGTGTATAGGGTGAATTCTCCTAGTCTGATCACGTGTCTGTTATAAAGCAGAATTTACTTCTGTGGCCTCAGCACTTCCTCAGGGAGAAACACTCCTGAGAGATTTAATGAGGGTGTACCAGGGTCTCAAATTAGCCAAGAAGCAAGTTGTGAAGGGAGAAATAAAGTTGTAAGAGACACCAGCTCATACAGCTAAAAATGAGAATAAGCTCTCAGGCACACAGGCCCTTCTGCAGGTTATCAAATTACACTAAATGACACTCACATCAACTTGAAGAAATGTTTTACATTATGCTTCAAAGGAAAGGAATAAACTCAATTCCATTCCCTTCACAGAATATCAAGTATTTAAAAATTGCATTTTTGAAGAGCTTGGTTTCCCAGAGAAGTGAAGGCAGGCCTGTTCCACCTGCCCAAGGTGACCCCAACCTTTTGGAATCATTTTAAAGATTTAAAATAAATCTCAGTCAGGCTGGCTTGGAGGTGCAGGTCCTCAGGGCAATTAGATGCCTGAAAGTTGAAATAAAAACCTCAGTGAGGCAGAGAAAAGTGACCACCCCTTAAGGGCAAGGCTGCTGAGGCACAAAAAGCTGGAGATAAATGTTCCATTGACACATCAGTCCAGAGCCAGGGCTTCATGGGCTCCTCTGCTCCCGCAGCTGCCGGGGCTTTTCCATCGTGCTTGGACCAGCAGAGCACTCGGGGTCCCTCAGGATGGGACAGAGATGGGGTGCACTGCTCCAAACCCGGAGCAGAGCCTTCCCTGGCACTCAGCACATCTTGGGAAGGTGCTGGGAAGGGAACTGGGGCTCAGCTCTGAGCACAGGATCACCCCAGCGTGCTGTGTGCTCCCGGGGGAAGCCTGGGGATTGTTGGATAGCTGATCCCATCACGTGTGCTGGGGTGAAATTAATACCCAGGGACTTCCTAAGGTTCCAAAGCTTCCAGCTCCATCCCTCTTGGGGAGTTTGAACTGCCTGGCTGAACACCATGAGCAGAATTGTCTTGGTGTTTCAGGAATTCTGCCGGTGCTAAAGTCCAACCTGCAGCACAGGGATAATTTATTCCTACATAGGCTTGGCTTATTTTATTATTTAGAATTTTTAGAGATTACTCACTGAAAAAACTTTTCGGATTTTTGAAGGGTTTGGGATGCTTTGAGATGGTGAGAAATCAGAATCTGAAGAGCCCTGAAGCACTGGAGTTGAAGTCTGGGGGTCGAAAACTTTTCATGGGATGAAAGGCCTTGAAGAGTTGGGGTCAGATGTTTGTTTGGGTCAGCTGCTTATTTTGCTCCAGATTTGGGAATTTTTTAATCAGCTCACTCTGCTATTTTGCATTTTTAATTGTTGCCTTCTGGCACTCTCTGCAGCTGTTCTGTAACTGAAGAGCTCAAATCCTTCCATGTCTACTCCTGTTCCTTAAAGAGTTTGCTGTGCCTGATCCTTTGTGCCGACAGGAGAGTCAACATGACAAAACAAACAGGACACAAAAAGAGAAGGGCCTGAAGCCCAAGGCCTGCAGGACCCTGTGCCCTCTCAGGGAGAGGGGTTTGGATGGCACCATTTGAAGCTGACAGACCCAGGGGATGGGGCCTGTCCTGTTGGCCGTTCCTGGATGAGATCCCTGTGGTTTGAAGTCACATTGAGGTTTCTGAGTTAGGAATAACTCATGGAGCCCATTGAACATGGGTCCAGCCAAATGGGGATGAAATGCCATTTTAAGGGAAGGTGTGGAGCAGCAGAATAATTTGGAGAGCAGCACTCCCTCCTGCTTTGCATGGGAGACAACAGCCAATAATTTAGAATCCAGGAGAAGTGGTGTCTAAGGACTGCAGGCTTCTCTAGTATCAGATTGCTGGTGTTGCTTAAAATGTCTCTAAGCCATCTCATTTTGGACAAGTAACTGCACCAAAGGAGAGACTTTCCCGTGTCAAACAAGTTCTGAGTGCTGCAGAGGAGACAGCACCACTTTGAAGTGCTGTATGCACATTAAACAGGTTTTTTCCCCAAGTAAATGGGCCATGCTGAGTTCTGTGCTGCTTCCTGCACTTTAATTAGCTCAGTATCCTGTTTGGATTCTGGACATCCATCTCCTCAGATCCCACAGCCCGGATTAACCAACTGGCTGCAATTTGGGATGTAAATTCTGGAGGGTGGAGGCCCTCAGCACACACCACACTGCAGGGACCATTTGCAAATGGAGATTCATGGACAGTAAGGAGCCCAGACACATTCTGAATGAAGGGAGGGGATTTTAGCAAACTGAGCATTCCCTGTGCCTCAGTTTCCCCAGGATTCTGTTCCACAGCTGTGCTCGGTGTTCCTGTGTGCTCAGGAGCTGATCCTGAGCATCAGCTCAGGATGTTCATCCCTGCTCATCCCTGATGTGTTGGTGGCTCTCCGGCTGACAGAGCTCCCCTCAGCCCTGTCACCTGTGTGTCCCCAGCCGAGCTTTGTCCCTGTCCTGTCCTTCCCCACGAGGCCCAAGGGCAGTGCAGCTCCCATGCTCTCCTCAGCAGATTCCCCCGGGGTTTTTGGGTTTGCTCCCAGCCACTCCTCGGGCTTGGAGTGACCTACAGACATTTACAGACATTTACAGACATTTACAGACATTTACAACCCCATTTCATTGTTTTCTGCCAGCTCCTCCCTCAACCCTCTCCTTTCCCAGGATGTATGCAAACCTCCTGACAGTGCTTTATGAGCCGTGGCTTTTGATGAATATTTTTTATTATTTCCTTGTTCTCCCCATACTTATTCATCTGCTCCCTCTTAGCCTTACAGGGTGCTTTCATTGGTGCAAAGATCATCTTTTTGTTCTGGGTTTTTACTTTTGTTTTAACCTTTTGTTGACTTGTTTTTACTTCGTTTTACCTTTTTTATTTGCCTGGCCAATGAGAAGTTTCTCGGCCTTTGTATTACCCTGATTCTGGCAAAATACTTGCAAAAATAAGTAATTTTGTGAGTTTAATAACCCACCTGGCTCTGAAACCCGAGCCATGCACATTGTTTGGTTTCAGCAATTATAGCTGGGAACAGCAGCAAGGATTTTATCGATCCAGACAAAGGCCAATCTCCTCTGAAATTCTGCTTGGCTGTTAAAGGCTAACTGTGCCTTGATCGATAGTTTTCAGTTACTTTATCTAAAGCACACACGTTTATCACTGAAGAATGTGAGTGTCTCAGCCTTCCCTCAAGAACTCGGAGAAGTTTTATTTCTTACAGGCCCGTCCCAGCTTGCTGTGAAAATCCCCGGTATCGTTTGGATGTAGCACAAAACATGAAGGCATTCTGCAAACAGCTTCATTAATTAATAAATTAATAAATTCATAAATTCATAAAGTAATGTCTGGCTCCTCATGGGGTGGCTCAGGCCTGGATGCCTTTCCCAGCACAAAAGAATCATTTTGGATCGAATTCATGTGGATTTTCCTTTTTTTGAGGATTAACAATAGAAGGGAATAATTTTGGATCGAATTCACGTGGATTTTCTTTGTTGAGGATTAACAACAAAAGGGAATAATTTTGGATTGAATTTACATGGATTTTCCTTTGTTGAGGATCAATAATAAAGGTTTAATTTACCTGAAATGTCTACAGGTGGCCACACAATTCTTATGTGTCCATCAGTATTTACTCAGCTTGAATTCTCTGAAAAGGTGAAATAAAAATAAGAAAGAAAGAATTACAGAAGAAGAATTGAAGGAGTTAATCTGGAGGGGTGGTGGGGGAAGATTAACGACAGCAATACCATGAAAAAGGGAGGCGAAATGAAAAGTGAGAAAATTCTCAGGCCAAAGTACTGAGTGGTGTAGATGCACAAAGAAACAGAAAGAAAAAAAAAACCCCAACAATATTAACTTTGCACTCTGGTGCAAAAGCTGAGGCTGCTCCTCTTTTAAAATCAACATTTCATGTGTGCAATCCCTCCCGGTGCCCACAGGGGAACTTTCCTGGGCTCTCCCTGAACGGTCAAAGCTGAGGGCAGCAGTTTCACAGATAAAATAATATCAGGCCATAAAGATAATGTAACTTTGGAGCAAATACTCTGCAGAGAACTGTCTCCTGATAGCAACTCCAAACAGTCTTAATCCTGACTGTTAATAGTTTAAAAATATTTAATATATTAAAGTCAAACTTTGTGGAAATTGATTCTAGTTTGACTTAACTCTTCCATTTAACCTACACAGGAAAATTTAAAATTTCTTAGCTGTCACCTACATTGAGCCTTTTCTTTTTAACACTTAAGGTTTTCCACTGAGTCATCTGGATCATTGATTATTTAAAATCCCCATTTATTGCCCACACTAACGGGTGAATTTGTGCAGGCTTGGTTTCCCCGTGTGCTGCTGAAAAGCCCCGTCAAGCACTAAGGAAAACCCGAGGAAAACACCTGAAAATTGAGAAATATTATTAAAAACCACTTGTATCTAATGTGTTTCCTCGCTGAGACATCTTGTGGTGTGTGAGGCTTCCTGCAGCTCGTCAAAACGAAACAATCGGGTGGCAAATTGGAACGGAGAGCAGGGGAGCTCGAGAACTCTCTGAGAGGCTTAAACCACACAGCTAAAAATCGCTTTTTTTAAACAAAAACTGCCTCAGTGCAGCACTGATGGGTTTATTCTCTGAGATTATTTTCAATTTGTTAAATATAAATATAA